GCGCGAGTTCTTGAAGCTTTGCTTCCATCGGAATGAGAAAAGAAAAGGCTGTGGAGTTTGATAATAATGCATCCGGTTTCGTATAGGCACTTAGAAGCTAACATATATGCGAGACAGCGAACTCTTCTATTATAATATTTATCCTATTACGTCCTTCCGGTGTTGCGTTCGGTGAAGTGTTTTTCATATTCCGTATCTTGTTTAATGAAAACTTCTTTAAGGGTCTAATTTAAGTTACTGAAGGCTAGTTCAAATAAAGAAAGCTGTATTTTCTCTTCACTGTTCCTTCAATTGCTTACACGCCGAGGTGGCAGGATAGTTAGCGAGTTCTACTTGTAAGTGGGTTTGTAAGGAGGTCGCGGATTTTACAGCTACTGCGTCGGACACAATTAGATGAAGTCCGAATGCGTAAACGTCGGTGTGGCAACCTTTGAGTGCACATAAAGAAACCATTCCTGGTAGAAATCCCTGAGCCTTACACTACGATGTATCCCGTTTCGTATGTGCTGATTTCAGATGTTTTATTTGTAATTTATTTTGATGTTGCAATTTGTCATTTAGAATTTCCGAACCGGTTCGCGGATAGAAATAATCGAACTGGAACTGAACCGGAACAAAATTAATTTACCTAAACCTGAACCGTAACCGAACCCGTATTTTTTTCGGTTCGACACACTGGTTTATTTAGCTTTAAAATTAGTTTTCTTGTGCCTTTCCACCTAAGACTAGTGTTTTTGAGGTTAGGGTGCAACATGCAACACATTCAAGCTAGAAAATGAGCGCTGGAATTTTGTTTCCCTACCCCTTTAAGGTGCTTTTGTCATCATGCTGTACTTTTGTCCAATGCTGCGGCATGCTCGGTCAGCCTTTATTTTAAAGTTTCATTTCCCCTCACAACTTTTAGATAGAATGAACACAAAGGAGGTTAGAAACGGCGTCAAAAATACAAATAAACTGGCTAATATACTCTGTTTCAGTGTAACTTGACAAAGAATGAAGGCTGCTTCCCAGACGAGCCTATTTGATCGTTAAAGGGATACTTCAACGAAATTTGAAATATTCCCGTCGTGTTCAAAAATAGGTTGAATATGATCCACAATATCCGTAAATGACAATCGCACATTTGTATTTTGAGCCTGGTGGCTGTATTTTTCGTTATAAACGGCCCACTCTGGCAAGCGCTCGGAGAAGGCCCAGCGGAGACCACATGACATCCAACGCAATCGTGACATAGGTCGTCTCAAGACGAGCAAAGCTACGGCGAAGCTGACGTCGAGAGGATAGCCTAGTCGTTCCAGCAACCGAAGCGGCTGCTTTTGTACAAAGTTTGAGTGACGGGTTAATCTTCTATAATCTTGTAGGGGGACAATAGCGACTTCTGCGACACACAAAAGGCATTCTCGGGAAGAGGGGAGTTCCTCCTGCCCCTCTTCTCTCGTCGTGGCCGGAGGCGAGACAACCTCCGTCACTAGCTGCCAAGGTTCCTAGACGGGCATTACAAGCGAGGCGTTAGCGACATCCACCAGGTGCTCTTTGCTAATCGTTTAATTAGTTTTAAAATTCCTTTTTGTGACTTTTTAACAAGATATTGGTACGTTCCATGTGATACTGCTCCTTTGAACACATAGAGACCAAAAAATGAGCGCCGAAATTTCGTTGTAGTATCCCTTTAAGGCGAGCCACTGACATTCGCCGTCACTGAGCATTACCCCTCTGTGAAACAGTGCCCATGCTTCACTCCGTCGCACTGATTGGCTCACGTGGGCCGTAACCTTTGTTGTTCGTCCACTTATGGTGAGATGGAGCAGAGAGTTTGCCCTAGTCTTGTTTAGAAAATCACGCAAAGAAAGTTGCGTCGCCAAGTGGCACAGTTTGTCCGAGGCATTTCTGTTCTTCTTAGCCCACTTCGGGCCTCTGCCACACCTGGAACTTCCACTTGTTATACCTGCGCATATTCAGGGTGTTCCAGCTATGTCGAACCAAGCTTTCACAAAAGGAGTGCTTTAAAACCAACTGTCTGTTGTTAGTAGTCACCTTTTCTATAAAGCAGTATTTTTTATTGATCCTAATTAAAGAATTAATGAGAAATTGACCTAACTTTAAAATATTGATAAAAGGGCAAAAATGTCAATTGGAAGTGAGGTGTTTGTATCGTAGTGCACCTTGTGTGTGTCTTTTGTCCAGCCCTTACGAAATGACCGTCAAATATGGTACCACGAGACAACGTGCTATTTTTGAACACCCAATTATGGCGCAAAGGTGGGCCGTGAATAGGCATTCTTTGAAGGTTTGAATAAAAAGCAGGCAAAGGATACCATATGTTAAAACACGTCGAGCGGGTGCTCTCTACAACTTGCAAATTTACACCTTTCCTTGATTCAACATTTTAAGGTCTTCTAATTTCTTTTAATGAATTAATTAGGCTAAATAAAAATATTGTGACTCTTTGCCAAGACACCTACTAAGAACATTAGTTCTGTTTGCATAGAGCACTTAGTCATCTTATTAAAAATCTTGGTTCGAGATAACTGGGACACTCTATATAGATCCGGGTTGGGGCCTCACTTTTTCTGGTAAAAACAATGAAGCAAATAACTTAATATTTACCCTCTTGGGCATGACACTATTGTTGTCTCGTGATTTTCCCCGTTTGTTTGTCGGAGCACCCCTTTTTCCAGGATTCGAATTTTGAAGCACTTTCCTACTCGTAACCGTGGCTTCAAGGAAGACAAGTAGAGATATAATAATGTGGACAACAAGGGAGCCCTCATTTTGGTGTAAGTATGCCCAAGCATGCTAAGCATTGCTCAGAGGCATGAATGCCAATGCTACCAGTTTTCTACAAGTTCTCTGTACAGCAGTCCACATAATAAAATGAAAGTGGCACTCTCACTAGGCTGTCAATGGGAACTCTCGGTTGATTTAAGAACATGCTCTTTATCGGTATGTGATATGTCAGTTTGCATGTACGATATCCTCAGGCAGTCTTCCCGCCAGAACAAACTACCCTGCTGACAAATGTGTGCCGTTCCCGTTCGCCTGATTAGTCAAATCCAGGTAAATAGCAGTATCAAAAGTTCCCATTCACAAAGATAAATTAATTAGTACACTGAAATAAAAAAAGTTACTTCGAGAGTGGATAAACAGTGAAAGGTTGTTTTGAGAAGGGTTCGATTGCAAACATTTTTTTGAGGGCTGTAAAAATGAGTTTTATTGAGAAGGGATAAAATGATAGTTGTTTCAAGAAGAATCAAAATAAAATAGTTTTTCTGAAATCTGTAAAACTGAGATTGAGAGGGGATAAAATTAGAAAGTTTGTTTTGAGAAGAGTCGAAATGAGAAAAGGAGTTATTTTGAGAAGGTTAAAATGTGAAGGCACATACAAGAACAAAAAGTGTGAATAGGTTAAAATGAGAACCACCCCCACTACCAGGTTATGTTCCATGGTTCTTGCACAGCTTGGAGTGATCTTGTGACGCGGAGCATCATTCTTTTCCCATGCTGGAATTGCAGGAACCAGCAGCCGGGGCCTCGATGGGAACCCTGCACGCCTGTCTTCGGACAGCGCCTTCCACCGCAACCAGTGGGATATCCTACGTAAGTGTCTTCAAGGGACCTGTGTAGCCCTGAGGCAACATCACCGCACTCCTCACAGCAGGCGGCAGGGGCCATGCAGCATCTTCAGACCAGTGCAGAAGCATTCCTCGGCGGAGCCTCGAGCAGCGGGGTATGTCCCATGGTTCCTGCACAGCTTGGATGGATATTGTGATGTGAAGCATTATTTTGTTCCCATGCCATGATTGTAGGGAGCAGCAGCCGAGACCTCGCAAACCCTGCAGGCCTGTCTTAGGACGACGCCCTTTACGGCAACCAGCGGGTTGTGCTACGTAGGTGTCTTCAAGAGACCTGCGTAACCCTGAGGTAACACCACCACACTCTTTACAGCAGGCAGCAGGGGCCATGCAGCATCTCCAGACCAGAGCAGAGCCATCTAGCGATGGGGCCTCCACCAACAAGGTATGTACTCCCATGGTGCCTACACAGCTTGAATTGATTTCGTGACGTGAAAAATCTTTTGGTTCCCATGCCGTGATTCCAGGAAGCAGCGGCCGGGACCTCAAGGGGAAACCTGCAGGCCTGTCTTCGGACAGCACCCTTCACCACAACCAGCGGGATATGCTAAGTAAGTGTGTTCAAGGGACCTGTGTAGCCCTGAAGTAGCACCACCGTGCTCTTTACAGCAGGCAGCAGGGGCGATGCAGCAGCTCCAGACTGGTGCAGAGACATTCCACGGCAGAGCCTCCGGCAGCGGGGTACGTCCCATGGTTCCTGCACAGCTTGGATGGATCTTGTGATGTGGAGCATTATTTTGTTCCCATGCCATGATTGTAGGGAGCAGCAGCCGGGACCTCGGAAACCCTGCAGGCCTGTCTTGGGACGACGCCCTTTACGGCAACCAGCGGGATATGCTATGTAAGTGTCTTCAAGGGACCTGTGTAGCCCTGAGGCAACACCACCACACTCCTCACAGCAGGCAGCAGGAGCCATGCAGCAGCTCCAAACTGGTGCGGAAACATTCCTCGGCGGAGCCTCCAGCAGCGGGGTATGTTCCATGGTTTCTCCACAGCTTGGATGGATCTTGTGATGCGAAGCATCATTTTTTTCCCATGCCATGATTCCAGGAAGCAGCGGCCGGGACCTCGGGAACCCTGCAGGCCTGTTTCGGGACAATGCCCTTTACAGCAACCAGCGGGTTGTGTTACGTAAGTGTCTTCCAGAGACCTGTCTAGCCCTGAAGTAGCAACACCGCACTCTTTACAGCAGGCAGCAGGGGCCATGCAGCAGCTCCAGACTGGTGCAGAAACATTCCTCGGAGGAGCCTCCAGCAGTGGGGTATGTCCCATGGTTCCTGCACAGCTTGAATAGATCTTGTGATGCGAAGCATTATTCTGTTCCCATGCCATGATTGCAGGAAGCAGCAGCCAGGACCTCGGGAATCTGCAGGCCTGTCTTGGGACGACGCCCTTTACGGCAATTAGCGGGATGTGCTACGTAAGTGTCTTCAAGGGACCTGCGTAGCCCCGAGGCAACACCACCGCACTCTTTACAGCAGGCAGCAGGGGCCATGCAGCATCTCCAGACCGGTGCGGAGCCATCTAGCGATGGAGCCTCCACCAGCAGGGTATGTCCCATTGTTCTCGCACAGCTGGCATCGATCTTGTGACGCAGAGCATCATTCGGTCCCCATGCGTGGTTGCAGGAAGCAGCGGCCGGGACCTCAAGGGGAACCCTGCAGGCCTGTCTTGGGACGACGCCCTTTACGGCAACCAGCGGGATGTGCTACGTAAGTGTCTTCAAGGGACCTGCGTAACCCTGAGGCAACACCACCGCACTCTTTACAGCAGGCAGCAGGGGCCATGCAGCATCTCCAGACCGGTGCGGAGCCATCTAGCGATGGCGCCTCCACCAGCAGGGTATGTCCCATTGTTCTCGCACAGCTGGCATCGATCTTGTGACACAGAGCATCATTCGGTCCCCATGCCGTGGTTGCAGGAAGCAGCGGCCGGGACCTCAAGGGGAACCCTGCAGGCCTGTCTTCGGACAGCGCCCTTGACCACAACCAGCGGGATATGCTACGTAAGTGTCTTTAGGGGACCTGTCTAGCCCTGAAGTAGCAACACCTCACTCTTCACAGCAGGCAGCAGGGGCCATGCAGCAGCTCCAGGCTGATGCGGAAACATTCCACGGCGGAGCCTCCAGCAGCGGGGTATGTCCCACGGTTCCTGCACAGCTTGAATAGATCTTGTGATGCGAAGCATCATTCTGTTCCCATGCCATGATTGCAGGAAGCAGCAGCCGGGAACTCGGGAACCCTGCAGGCCTCTTTTGGGACGTCGCCCTTTACGGCAACCAGCGGGTTGTGCTACGTAAGTGTCTTCAAGAGACCTGCGTAGCCCTGAGGTAACACCACCGCACTCTTTACAGCAGGCAGCAGGGGCCATGCAGCACCTCCAGACCGGTGCAGAGTCATCTAGCGATGGAGCCTCCACCAGCAGGGTATGTCCCATGGTTCTCGCACAGCTGGCATCGATCTTGTGACACAGAGCATCATTCGGTCCCCATGCCGTGGTTGCAGAAGGCAGCGGCTGGGACCTCAAGGGGAACCCTGCAGGCCTGTCTTGGGACGACGCCCTTCACAGCAACCAGCGGGTTGTGCAACGTAAGTGTCTTCATGAGACCGGCGTAGCTGTGAAATGACAGCACGACACTTTTTACAGCAGGGAGCAGAGGCCATGCAGCATCTCCAGACCGGTGCGAAGGCATCTAGCGACGGAGCCTCCACCAGCAGGGTATGTACTCCCATGGTTCCTACGCAGCTTGGATTGATTTTGTGACGTGGAGAATCATTTGGTTTCCATGCCATGATTTTAGGAAGCAGTGGCCGGGACGTCGACAAGGACCCTGCACCCTGTATGTCCATCGCTCATTTCACCTAGACTCACCTAAGATGTAATTCTTCAGATGAGGAGGAGAATTAAGCACCTGGCGAATGAGAACCGCCGCTTGGTGATGCAGGCTGCTTTGCAGAAGACTAGGGAAGCTACATTCCACACACACTTGCGCAAGATCTTCACTGCGGATCAACTGTTAGCTTTGTCAAGAACTAGCAACAGGGGATCCAAGTGGTCTAACGAGACTGTTAAAAAGTCTTTGCAGATGCGATTTGCCTGTGGCAGCACGGGCTACGACCTGATGCTGGAGGGGGGCTTCCCATTGCCATCGTCCAGAACGCTGAGGCGGAGACTTGAAGGCAAGTTTGTTCTTGGGTTACTCATCTGCCTCAAAGCTCCCTGTTGGTTGTTAGCAGATGTAATATCTTTGTAGTAACTCTACTATTTTGCAGTCTCCACAAACTTTCCGGATGTAATGAAGTGGTGTCGTGGTTTCTTTTTTATTTAGTTCCGTGTGATATAAAGGGGCAGATCAAACATATTGGGTTCGAATGCTTATCTCATTGCACGCATACTAGCACTAGTTTGTCCTCAGTATACTTCCATGTAGCACGATAAACCCAGAAGTTTCTGTTGGGAAATGAATTTAAGGTTAAAAAAGCCATGTTTTGCATTATTATTTTTTTCTAAGCTCACTGTTGTAACTCTGAAGATGATAGGAGGCATTCACTTGATCAAAAAAGGTTTTAAGAAACGAAAACAAAACCACGACATTTCATTGAACGGCACTTCAGCTAATGGTGGCATTCATGTTAGCGAATTCTCTATGGCTTGGTAGGTTAGCTTACTGAACCCTCTGCGGTAAACCCTAGGTCCGGGTTGGCCACACTGACAATGTCCAAGAGCCACAAGCAAAGTTGTTCATGTTTCGAGAGCTGCATCGGGGTGGGAGGGGGAGGGGAGGGGGTAAGAGTTGTATTTAGAGAGAGTTTGCCGTAAGGTAGGATGTATAGGAGGTAAATGATGTGGCGCCATTGATCGAAAGCAGGCTGGGTGTGTTCCAGGTCACCTTCACAAATTCGAATGAGGCCAGCCAGAAGCCGCCAATCATACCCTGGTGGTCACGAGAAACAAAATAAATATGTGCGTCGGAGTAACTTTTGGTGGCTGAAAATATGCTGCACGTGATTTTTCGTTCATGGTCATGCAAAATAAAAACCTAGCAGAATGAATGACATAATCCACATGCCAGGGGCCGAAAGCCGGGAATCTGCCGTCTGAGCGGTCAGACTTTGTCCGAGCAAAACAGAGTTCAAGCGGCACATTCAATTCTTACATCTTTTTTCATGATCATAATTGAAACATCACGTGGACCATATTTTCAACTTTAAAGAGTTACTACATTTAACTCTTATGCGCCTATTAAAACTGTTTCTCGCTACCACTGCTAGGGGTGTTTTTCGGTTTCTGATTGGGTGAGCACGTCAAGCCTCCTTTCTGCGTCTGGCGCACGCCCTGGCTCTGCCCGTTCCTTTTATTGACCAAACTCGCTCTATAAATGGTTTGGGGTAGGGCGGGCAGGGCGGGGCGGCGGCGTAGGTACATGATGGAAATATTGTTTCTTTCATGTGCTCTTGGCATTATTTTATAAAGCCTTCTTCATCATACTTAAAGTTTGGTTAAAATGTTGAAATTATTTTTCGTAGTGCTTTGATTTCACGCTATAACCAAACGCTTTCATCAAGAGGATATATTAGATGACTCGGCTTAGTAGCTTTTACTGATTGTGTGCATACCCGGAACAGTGACCTCGTTTCTTCATTAGGCTGCTGCATTGCATCATTTGTAAAAGAACAATTTTAATAAGCAAATGTAGGTCGATAAGTCATTTATATCAACGATCTTCCCTCTTCGATTACCTCAACTATCCGCCTATTCGCAGATGATTGTGTCATTTATAGAAAAATCTTAGACCCGACAGACCATAACGTCCTCCAAAATGACCTTGATGCTATATCTTCCTAGTGCTCAGAATGGCAGATGACCGTTAACCCCGACAAATGTAAACAAATGACCGTTACTATGAAATCAAACAAATCATACAGCCAATATACATTACTCATGCAGCAACTTGAATGTGTTTCACTATACAAATACTTAGGAGTAAACATCTCTGAAACTCTCTCATGGAAACAACAGATCGATAACTTAGTCACCAACTCATTTAAATCTCTAGGTTTCTTAAGGCGCACCCTACACCTGCCCCCCCCCTTTCAACAAAACTGCTAGCATATAAAACAATTATTCTCCCTAAACTAGAATATGCAAGTATCATATGGCATCCGCATCAAAATTATCTTTCTTCCAAATTAGAATCTGTCCAAAGCAAAGCAGCCCGGTTCATATCAAACGACTTTTCGCCTCAAACTAGTTTCTCAGCTTTAAAAATAAATTTGGGTCTGGCTCCATTGTCTACCCGGCGCGATATTTACCGCATATGTTACTTTCATGACTTATACTACAGCAACTCGTGCTTTAAAAGCACCCATTGTCATTCCGCACATTATATTTCTCCTCGAACCGATAATTCCTGTAAGGTGCAGCAATACCAGTCACACATTAATTCCTTCCTGTTTTCACCCTTAATATTATTGATTACTGAATGGAATAACTTGCCAGACGAGATGGTTACTAACACAAATCCCGTTGAATTTAAAACAATCTGCGAGCGCCTGTAGCATGAATAGTACACGTACATGCTTGTTTGTTGTTTTCTTAGTCGCTTTCCGTTTTTTCATATTGAAATTGTTGTTTTATATATAGTTACGTCCAGTTCAAAATTGCTGTTGTGTACGTATGATGTGACTTCCTTTTTGTAAACTGTGCTGGGTTGATTGCAATGATTTTGTTATAACAATGACTGTGTTTGAAAATTGTGTGACTATGTTGTTACGAATGCATGTACCACCTACGCCCTCATGTAATGCGTCCTCAAAGACACCCTTGAGGTAAATAAATGAAATGAAATGAAAATGTAGGTCAATAAGCAAAGGTTGTAAACAATTTTGGGCCGAACGTTTCACACAAAGCTAATGCTGCCTCATCTTACCATGCGAGGATGTTGCAAAGAAGCTAGAAAACAAAAGCAATAGATTATGTTCTAGCTGATTTGCCTCCACCTGACCATTACTACTTAATGTAAAATTTATATTGATCTTTATTGGATCAGGAGGCCAATAAAGATGCGTATTGACAACGAAATCGCAACTTCAAACCAGGCTCGTAGCCAGGATTTTGACTCCCTCCCACTCATACAGGACAAAATCCTGTATGAGGGGGAGATAGGAGAGGAGGCCCCAGCAAAATTGAAGATTGAAGAGGCAACTCCATGGGTCCCTTTCCTGGCTACGTGCCTGCTTCAAACCCAGTATTATTAATGTCATGTTTTCCACCTGTTCCCCACTGTAACATTTTTACAAAGTTTCGTGTTCCAGCCAAAATATTTTAATTTGAGCCCCACGAGAGCCGCACTTCGGCCCGGAAAGAGCAGTTTGGTTATTCCTGCCCTAGGTGGTTCACGCATGAGCTTGATAATCTCATTTCCCCCAAGCGACAGTAAAGGGTGAGTGCATGTAGCATGGTCTGCTGGAAGCCTACTTTGCCGAATGCTATGAACAGCCTATTTGCTAAAACGTCATTTGCTATATAATATCGCCCCGAAGATAACTCTGGTTACAGTCAGTGGGAGCACCATGTGGTGACGATAGCTAAATGAGACACCTGAGTTTTTGAGGAGAACTGCATGAACAATCAAGCTGGGTTCTTGACAATCGGTGCATTTGGGTAGTGGCTCTTGGCTAACCTCTCCACAAGAATAGCCAACGTTGAAGATT